GGAACCCACGTGTTCGCGCTTGTCGCTTGTCCCGCTTTGGGGCGTGAGGCACCCATGTGTTTTCACGCGTGTCCCGCCCTGAGGCCTTAGGAACCCATATGGTTTCACGCTTGTCCCGCTCTGGAGCGTGAGGAACCGTCGTTAGGAATACATGCGTTTTCACGTTTGTCCCGCTCTGGGGCGTTAGGAACCCCGCGTGTTGTCATGCTAGTCCTTGTCTGGGGCGTTCGGAACCAAGTGTGTTCACGCTTGTCCCGCTCTTGTGCGACAGGGACCCACGTGTTTTCACGCTTGACCCGCTCTGAGACGTTAGAAAGCCTCGTGTAGGACAAAATAAATGTTTCGCTCGAGACATCCGCAACACATTCTGCACATGAAGCGTCTCGTTCGAGACACCTGCAACAAACGAAAATGCTCACGTCCCCCTATGTCCTACCGATCGGAATTTCAAAATGGACATTCTCACATTTCAATCCTTCCCTTCGGCTTTGGTTTTTGCTTCCCAGCAGAAAAAGACCGCCGGCCCTCCTCGAATTCTGGCACCCATGACAGCGGAGCACCAGTACGGGAGAACCCTGCGCCCGAGCCCTGCCCGGAAAAAAGATGGCCAAGACGATGTGTAAGAAGAAGAAGAAGACAGTGAATTTGCTTTCGAAGAGGGTTGGTGTTGACGAAGATCAGGAGGGAAAAAACACACAGACACAATGAATCGTCGATCCCCCAGAAAATATGGGAAAATATGGGACGTGGGGGGGAAGACGAAAACCCAGAAAGTATGGGAAAATATGGGGCATCTGTTGATTTGTGTGTATTTATTTGTGTGTCCTGGGGCCCCTTCAAAGACGATGCGTAAGAAGAAGAAGAAGAAGACAACGGATTTGCTTTCGAAGAGAGGACGGTGTCGACGAAGAGAGGACGGTGCGGTGAAGACGCCGAGATCACTGCCACCTGGGGCTCCGGAGGGCGCTGGTCTCCGGGCCGCTCCGTGGATCTGGGCCGGGGGGCCTCGTGCGCGGCCGAGGCCGTAGCCAGGAGACCCCGTTCGCTCCGCACTGGGAGTTCCTTCTGGCCGCACGATGGCCGCACCACGACAAGACCATCCGGGAAAAAGACGACGAAGGAGACGAAGGAAGAAAAGTAAATGAAGATGAGGAGAACAATGCGAACAATGATAGTCATACGTAGAAGAATGACGAGGAGAAGAACAACAAGGATAGGAATACGAATAATAGTAATAATAATAATAATTATAATAATAATAATAATAATAATAATAATAATAATAACAACAAAAGTAAGAAGAAGAAGAAGAAGAAGAGGAAGAAGAGGAAGAAGTAGGCGTTGACGAAGATCGGCGGTGCGCCCCAGGGGGGAAGGCAGAAGGGGGGCGGGCTGTCTCAGAAGGCCCGGCCGGCCTCCGAAGACGCGGCGGGCTCCCGCAGCAGGCCGGCTGGCGGCTGAGAGGCCCCACCGCGCCCCGGGAATCGACTACACCTGGTTCATGTCTAACTGTTCGAAGGTTCTTTGATTTTTTAGGGGGGGGGGCCAGGGTCCTTTCATTTCTGACTGTTGTATCCGGGGCCTCTTCCTGGCCACTGGGGGGCCAGGAGCAATCAGAAACGAGCACAGTTAGAAACGAGCACAAGTAGAAATGAACACGATTAGGAATGAGCGACGTGTAGGCGTAAGAGTGACCTTTCGCCGGAGTGACCTTTGGTGCGGGCCCACTGGGGTCCCCCGATCGCCGAACCCGATGCGATGGTAGCGTCTTGCGCGCTTGTGTTTGGTACCCCCGCGGTCCCTAAAAAGCCGCGCACCAAAGGTCACTCTTAATGGAGGATGACGATTAATAAATGACCGGAGGTCGTGTTCACGCAGCGGCGCCCAGGATGACGATTAGAAAAAACCGGCCGCGGGCTGGAAAACTATGTTTTAAATCGTTCTCCTCCAGTCAGAAACTTGTGCAGAAATAGCAGAAAGCTATGTTTTTAATCGTTCTCTCCCATTTTTATTAATCGTCATCCCGCATTACCCAGGGTCACTCTTGCGCGTAGTCGAAAGAAGGCTTGCCCCCCCTCACCTCCCTCGTCGGCGCGCCGCCGAAAAGAGGACAGCTAGACAGGGGCAGCGAGGGCGAAGACGTCGCCGCCGCCGCCGCCGCGCAGAGCGGCCCAGGTGCAGAACGGGCGCGTGATCGAGAACCCGCCGTCGCAGGCGCCGCGCCGGCCGCCCGGCGGCATCCGCCTCCCCTCGCCCTCGTCCTCCCCGCCCCGCCCCCCTTCTCGCCATGGGGGAAGCGGGTCCCGAAGGAGACGAGGCCCGAGGCTTTTCGCCGTCTTCGGGCTCTCGGGGCCCTCCACGGGCCCCGGGAGTGTCAGAAATCGCACCGGATGAAGGGCTGGATCTGGGGGAAGGCCCCAGGGTCCAGGACCCGTTTCCTTCGGGATCCGTTGTCCCCCCTGCTACCCCTTCCTCCTTGCCCTTGCTGCTCCTCCTCGCCTCCTCCTCCTCCTCCTCCTCCTCCTGTTCCTCCTCCTCCTCCTCCTCCTCCTCCTCCTCCTCCTCCTCCTCCTGCTCCTCCTCCTCCGTGCCGCCCGCGTCTTCCACCCGCCGCCTGCCCTGCCCATTTTCCTGCCTCCTCCTCCTTCCTCCTCTGCTCATGTCTCGCCCCCCACACCTCCCTCCTCCTTCCCCTGTGTGGATGTGTATGTGCATGTGCATGTGCATGTGTGTATGTGTGTATGTGTGTATGTGTGTATGTGTGTTGTGTGGGTTGTGTGGGTTGTGTGGTGTTGTGTGTGTGCTGTGTGTTGTGTCTGTGTCTGTGGGTGTGGGTGTGTGGGTGTGGGTGTGGGTGTGGGTGTGTGTGTGTGTGCCTGTGGTATGTGTGTGCGCGTTTGTGTGTGTGTGTGTGTCTGTGTGTATGTGTATGTGTATGTGTATGTGTGTTTGGGTATGTTTGTGTGTGGGTGTGTGTATGGGTGTGGGGGTGTGCGTATTTGTGTGTGTGTGTCTGGGTGTGTGTGTGTGGGGGGGGGTGGGTGTAGGTGTGGGGGGGGGTGGGGTGTGTGTGTGTGTATGTGCTGCCTGCTGGCGCTGTGACATTTTTGGTGCAGCCTTTGCGGTGTCCTCGCCGCCACTGCTGGCCTTCGGCGCCTTGCGCCTTGCCCTGCCCTTCTGCCAGTCGTCTGGCCTTGGCATCGCTGTAGCTTCAAGTGTGCCACTCTTTCGCCCTCCTGGCATTCTGTTTCCTCGCCAGTTGGCACTGCGTATGCCTCGTCTGCCCCCCCGGTAATGCATGCCCGGATGACCTGTGGCTGGCAGCGGCGTTGCTCGTTCAGAGCGGCTTGAGGGCTCCGCCGCTAGCCGCGCGCGCGCGTTCTTTTCTCCGGTGTTGGTCGCCCTGTCGCTGCGCGCGGGGCCGCGACGCCAAAATGTGTGTGTGGTGTGTGTGGTGTGTGTGTCTGTGTATTTGTGTGTGTGTGTGTCTCTGTGTCTCTGTGTCTCTGTGTCTCTGTGTCTCTGTGTCTGTCTACCTTTGTGTCTGTGTGCCTGTGTGTCTGTATGTCTGTGTGTCTGTGTGTCTGTGTGCCTGTGTGCCTGTGTGTCCGTGTGTCTGTGTGTTTGTGTGTCAGTGTGCCTGTGTGTCTGTGTGCCTTTTGTGTCTGTGTGCCTGTCTTCCTGTGTGTCTGTGTGTCTGTGTGTCTGTGTGTGTCCGTGTGTCTGTCCGTGTGTGAATGTGTGTCTGTCTATGTGTGTGTGAACGTCTGTGAGTCTTTGTGCTCCTCGCTCGCCCGTGCCTGTGAGAGGCCTCGCTCCCGCGGCGGAGCGTTTTCCCGCCTGGCCCTCCCGTTCCTCCTGCTCTCGTTGCCAAGCCATGGGGGCGACCCGCCTGCGGCGTCAGCTCCGCCTTTACTTCGTCCTCCTCCTCCTCCTCATCATCGACGTCACCACCATCATCATCATCATCATCATCATCATCATCATCATCATCATCATCAGCACCAGCATCAGCATCAGCATCAGCATCAGCATCATCATAATCAGCAGCATCATCATCATCATCATCATCACCATCACCATCACCATCGTCATCATCATCATCATCATCATCATCATCATCATCATCATCATCATCACCATCACCATCACCAGCATCAGCATCAGCATCAGCATCAGCATCATCATAATCAGCAGCAGCAGCATCAGCATCATCATCAGCATCACCATCACCATCGTCATCATCATCATCATCATCATCAGCATCAGCATCAGCATCAGCATCAGCATCAGCATCATCATAATCAGCAGCAGCAGCATCAGCATCATCATTATCCTCATCATCATCATCATCATCATCATCATCATCATCATCATCATCATCATCAGCACCATCATCCGTAGCCAATTTGGCTCAAGGCTCCCCGCGCGCGCGCGAGGGTGATGTCTGCGGGATCGGGCGCAGTGCCGCGAGGCGCTGCCGGGCCCCGGGCGGCGGCAGACCGGCGTGTGGCGCGCCTGCAGTCGCAACTGAACGTCGCGCTGCGCCAGAAGAAGGAGGGGTCGAAGCAGCGTACACCGCACTCATCGACGACGATGTGGTGGCGGCGCGTGTGCGCTGCATGCTCCCCGCGCTCATGGCCGCCGTCGCAGGCGTGGAGCCGACATGGCTCCAGCGCCCGAGGGGCAACGTCGGCCTCCGCTCGGCGGCGCCGGGCGCGCGGGCCCTGGTGGCGGGCGCGGGCGAGCGCCGTTCCCTGCAGCACGGGCCGCGGCTGAGGACCGCTGCTGCGGCGTCGGAGCGAGGAGCGCGGGAACCTCGTGGCAGGCGGCGCCGCAGGGGCAGTGGTTCCGCGCACGCGTCGCAGCCTGTGGAGGTGGCCGCGGCTCGTGGACACGTGGCTGGCACGCGGTGCACCTGCGGCGCGATGGTGTTCAGTTCGCTGGAGCCGTTCGTCGGGGAGTAGCCGTGCATCACGGCTCAACCGTCCAGAACGCCGATGCGGCTTGGCGCCCAGCCATACGTGCCGAACGAGCTGGAGGCCCACGTGTCGGGGGACGGCGCGGGGGACGAGCAAGACGAGGGGGTCGCGGCCAGCGCCGTGGCAGAGCTGGGCGGAAGTGCGCGAGCAGGAGCGCGCACACTGCGGCGCTCAGGTGCCGCGCCGTGCGCTCTGGACGACGAGGCCGACGGCGACCGCGGACCCGTGCTTGCCGAGGGAACGAACGAGGCTGTGTTCGACGACGACGTGCAGGAGAGCGAGGAGAAGCTGGGCATCGGGGGGGCCTCTGCACTGGCGCGGAGGCCTGCGGTACGGTACGCGGCGCTGGACGGCGACTCGGCGAAGCCCGACGTCAGCGGCCACAGCCTACCTGCGGAGTACGACGGCGGCGAGGAGAGGCCGCCATCCAAGGGGCTGGACGACGAGTCCGACGGCGGGCACGACGCGGTGCCCATCGACAGGAAGTTGCATCGGTGTTGCTTCAGCGGGGGCGCGGAGGCGGGGGTCGGGCGACGTGATGCTGGACGGCGACGTGTTGGAGCCCGACGTTACCAACGACAGCCTGCCTGCGAACTACGACGGGGTGGTTGAGCGGCCGCCGTTCGGAATGGAGGGCGAGGAGGACGTGCCTTTGCCCGTGGTGGAAAGCGAGCTTTTCTTCACCTGCTATGACTTGGAGGCGATTGCTGCCACAGCGACAAGGCCGTCAAGCAGTGCGAGAAGGCTGTGGGCCATCGCGACGGAGCGGGTCGAGGGCTCGCAATGCTGACGGATGTAGGTGCGCAGCCGTGCTCTGTTCTCGCCGGCGCAGCGGGCTTGCGGGTCCGCGGGAAGAGCATGGCCCCCGCGCGCACTTGATGCAAGGAGATCGGCGGGCGCCCGCGGGAATGCGGCGACCCACCTTGGGAGAGCGGGATCATCATCATCCTGCCCCTCGCCCTCCTGCTGCTCTCCGCAGCACCGAAGGAACACCCGAACTTTCGAAGCCCGTTCGCTGGACTCGAGAGTCTTGCTGGTGACGTGTCGTCCAGCTGGTGATGGCGGCGCATGGCTGCGGTCGGTTTGAAGTCTTGCCGCCAGCTCATAACCTGCGACTAGCGATCAGACGTGGGCAAGCTCCTCGCCATCCTCATCCATTTCTCCCCCCTCCCCCTCCACTCGAAACAAACATCGGCTAAAGTACCCACTTCTCGAAAGTCTGCGCGGCGGACTTCGGACGCCCCGGCGGCGCCTCCGGCGCCGCCCTTGGCGCGCGCGCCTGGGAGGGGGGGGGGCCCGGCGCCTGCCCTGGAAGTCCGCGCGGACCCCCGAAAGTCTGCGCCCATGCCGATGTTTACGATTCCATCCGCGCCCGCAGCCGCCGAAGCGCAAGCCACCGACCGAACGCCGTAAATGCTTGATGCCATGGTGGTTTTTAAAACTCGTTGTTTTGCCGATCGGCGCGGGCCCTCGCACCCCGCCCCCCCATGGAGTAGACCTGGACTGCCCTCGGCGCCTGCTTCAAGCAGGTGGAGTCTCCCCCATCGGACGCACTGTCGCAAACATTCGCATTAAGCAAAGGTCCGGAGCCAGACCCCCCCCTCGCTCCCCCCTCCGCCCAATTTCGGAACACCGAATAAGAAACGTTCACATGCCTTTCCAAAGGCAAACATGTTACATTGGGGAACCAGGAGGCCTTGATGAGGCAACTGCACCTCCACGAGGCGTACCTCGACATCGCCCCCTCCTCCGTGCCCTCCGCAGTCGCTTTTCGCGCTGACCCCATGCTCGTTATCACAAACCCTAACTCGGTTCGCAGGCGGCCGTGTTAGACGATTCCCGCACCCCTGGAATCCTCTCGACGAGGCGCAGCTGATAGGGAACGCCCCCGAGAACCTCCGAAATCGTCCGAAACTAGGCCACCCACGGTGCCGCTGATCGCCGTTGGGCGCCGCTGCCGTCGGCGCCCTCGCCGTCACCGGCAGGGACGACGGCGGCGGCACCCAACGGAGAGGGCCGGCAAGGACGGACTCGGGACGGGAGGGTGTATTGCAGCATCGTTGATGCATTTTGCGTTTAGTCTGGTCCTCCTCCTCCCCCTTCGCCTCCTGAATCTGGACCTGATGGCATCGGAGTTCATGGTTGGACGCGGGCATCCTGTTCGTTATTCTCGTCCTCCCTTTTTCCTCGTCCTGTCATCCTGTTAGCCTGTTCATAATCATCATCATCATCATCATCATCATCATCATCATCATCATCATCATCATCATCATCATCATCATCATCATCATCATCATCATCATCATCATCGTCATCGTCATCGTCATCGTCATCGTCATCGTCATCGTCATCGTCATCGTCATCAGCAGCAGCATCATCAGCATCAGCATCAGCATCATCATCCGCCCTCCTCTTCCGCTCTCCTCCTTCTCCCTCTTCCCCCCTCCCTCATATTTCTTATAATTACCTCCTCCTTGTCGCACCCCGAGGTGGGACCTAGGGCAGGCCAGGCGTTTCGCCAGAGACTTCCTCACCATGTGTGATCCTGAAACGTGAAGTTTGCAGCAGTCTCACAGATGGAGGGCGGGTCGTTCTCAAAGTGTGTTTATCGTTTCACCCCTCGCTCATTCGTCTTAAGAGCGTGCAAGTGTGTCACAGATGGATGGCGGGGCGTTTTCAACATGTGATTCTCGCCTTACCGCTTTAGCGCATTCGTTTTCCAAGTTCTCGGAAGCTTCACGGATGGAGAGCGGGCTGTTTTCAATTACTGTGTGACGTACCCAACCCATTTGCATCAAGCGACAGGAGGGTTTGGCCCAAACTTGCCAACGACAGTGATGGCGCCGTTATATGTTGCGCAAGCGACATGGGATGCGCCCACGTGGCGCTCGCAGATCGCAGCCCCCCCCCGGGGATGGCGAGGTCTCAACTGCGTCTGGGCAAGGCGTCACTCCGCTGGACCCCCCCCAGCAGCCCCCGAAAGTGGCGACAGGTTCGGAGATCGCAGCACCCAGGGACGGCGAGGTCTCATTTGGATACGGGTAGGACGTAATTCCGCCGGACCCCCCAGCAGCCTTCGAAAGTGGCGATAGCGTCGCAGATCGCAGCCCACCAGGGATGGCCAGGTCGAATTTGAATTTGGGTAAGGCGTCACTCCGCTGGACCCCCCAGCAGCCCCCGAAATTGGCGACAGTCTCGCACACCGCAACCCCCCAGGGGGGGCGAGGTCTAGTTTGCGGATGGGTAAGACGTCACTCCGCTGGACCCCCCAGCAACCCTCGAAAGTGGCGACAATGTCGCAGATCGCAACCCCTGAGGGATGGCGAGGTCTCATCTGAAACTGGGTCAGACGTCACTCCGCTGGAACCCCCAGCAGCCTTCGAAAGTGGTGACAGCGTCGCAGCTCGCAGCCCCCCAGGGATGGCGAGGTCTCATCTGAAGTTGGGTAAAACGTCACTCCGCTGGACCCCTCGAGCAGCCCTCGGAAATGGTGACAGTTTCGCAGATCGCAGCCCCCCAGGGACAGCGAGGTTGAATTTGACTCTGGGTAGGCCGTCACTCCGCTGGACCCACAGCAGCCTTCGAAAGTGGCGACAGGCTCGCATATCACAGCCCTCCAGGGATGGCGAGGGGTCGAATTTGAATGTGGGTAGGACGCCACTCCGCTGGAACCCCCAGCAGCCCCCGAAAGTGGCGATAGGTTCGCAAATTGCAGCCCCCAGGGATGGCGAGGTCTAATTTGAATCTGGGTAGGACGCCACTCCGTTGGACCCCCGGGCAGCCCTCGAAAGTAGCAACGGTTTCGCAGATCGCCGCCCCCCCCGGGATGGCTAGGTAGGGGGCAAGCTGGCACGCAGAAAGGCGCGAGGTGAGAGGCAGGAGAGAAGGGGAGAGGGGGCGGGACGCAAGGAGGTGTGCGACCGCAGTGCCCTGTTCAAAACGAGAATCCAACGCAGGAGGGTTGGGAAGAATGCAGTTATCTCATCACCCCAATCGCCCATGCGTCTTAACTGCTTTCAAGAGTTGCACGGATGGAAGGCGACTCCTCTTCAAAATGTGAATATCGCCTCGGCGCCGCGCACATGCGTTTTCACAGTTTACAACAGCTTCAAGGATTAGACCCAGAAGCTGTGTTACGGCACGAGTTATGATTGCCAGGGTGCGACAATCACGCTGATTCACGGTGCTGGCGTCCCAGAAATGGTGTTTTGGCACGGTTACGGATCGTCAGACCACAGCAGTGGGAATTTGGAGGGACGGTAGGTTGCAACATCGTTGATGAGCGTTGGGTCTACACGGGTCATCTTCCTCCTCCCCTTCCTCCTCCTCTTCATCTTATTCATCATTTTCCTCCTTCTCTTCCTCTCTCTCTCTCTCTCTCCTTCCCCCTCTCGCCGCTCGACGACGACCGCCGCCGTCGGCATCGCCATCGCTAGCCGCCGCACCTTTGCGCCGCCATCGCCGCCGTGCACGCGGAGCGGCAACACGGGCCCCTTCCGCCCAGCAGTTGTCGGCGGCCCCGCGACTCCAGGAGGAAGGGAAAGAGGAGGAGGAGGAGGAAGAGGAGGAGGAGGAGGAGGAGGAGGAGGAGGAGGAGGAGGAGGAGGAGAGGAGGAGAAGCAGGAGGAGGACGAGGAGGAGGAGGAGGAGGAGGAGGAGGAGGAGGAGGAGGAGGAGGAGGAGAGGAGGAGGAGGGAGGAGGAAGAGGAGGAGGAAGAGGAGGAGGAGGAGGAGGGGAGGAGGAGGAGGATTTCGTAGAGCACGGCGCACAGCAGCCAAAACGGAGGCTAGGCGGCCCCTCCAGTCGGTGTGTGGGCGGTTCCCCTGAGCGCCCTCGACGACAAACCCTTGGTCAGCCTGTTCAGGTAAATCCGCCCACGGAGTGAGGAGCTTTCCCTCCTCCCTGACATGGCGCGTGCCCAGGCCACCGCACACCTCGCACGCCAAACTACGCTCCCACCCACCCACCCTCCCGACGTCGAACCACCTCAGGACGTGCGAAGGATGTGCGCGACGACCCCGCCTGGAGGGCCCTCCGGCTCGACCCGAGGGCCGCGGGGCCCGGGCGGCAGGGCTGCGTCAGCCAGTGGATCCACACCCCCTTTCCTTTGGGAACAGGTTCGGAGCCGCACTCCGGGCAGCGCCAACGTCGCGGGTGGACGGCATGGCAGGTCTCGGCACGCGCGGTTGGGAGGTCAAGCGAAGGCTTCTGACCTCGGCCCGTCTCTGCGGGCCCCTCTGCACGGACCTTGGGGGGGAAAGAGGCCGTCATGGCCAACATTCGCTTTGAATTAGACTGGCTTCCTCCTCGAGCTCTAAAAGGGATTGGGCCTGGCCGCTGGAGACCTGAGCGGGATCCGAGAAGTGGTCGGCCGAAAGGTTAAGAAGCTCACGACTCGCAGACCGCTGCTCTTGTTCCGTGAGATGGCCGGCGACTTTCAAGACCCGAACATCCCGCCCTTCGCGGAGTTTATCGACAGAGTGCCAGAGGTCCCTGTGAGATTTCGGGGACCAACGCCCCCTGCCGAGCTTGAAAAAAATCGCGGACGACATACAGAGAGTCGGGGATGGTTTTATATGTGTATATATGTATGTATGTATATATATATATA